AGTAGGGTAATATAACGATAGTTCGAACGCTTGCTCGATCCCTTATAAGATTAGGGACAATTACACTATGCTTACTTCCATTCTCCATGGAAACGTCTCGAGGTCCACATCTGATGAAATACGGCATGGAAAATTTCTCCCACTGTGGTTGGTAAATACTTAATTAACTTCGGAGAAATTCGATCCGCCCCGCATGCCTTCTTCAAGTTAAAGTGCAGCAAGGATTTTTGAATTCCAGCTTTGTAGGTGGATCTAGATCCATAACTTAGATCTATAAACTGTCAACAGATATAACACCAGTATTCAGTACATGTAAATCAGGTTAATCAATACACTGTGAAATAATACCACATGTACTATTCAGTATCCTAGAGTATTTTCGTAATTATTCATCTGAAAGTTATTTCCAGTCACATATTAACAGTTCACTTTCAGTAACAATTACTTTATATCGAAGGAACAACAAAACTGGAGGAACTATAAAAGTGAATGAACAATAAAACAAAAAACTGCTTACTTGTATTAAAGACATGTACATCTATCGGTACTGGGCGTTCGTAGTCAGCCCCGGAACAGTAGCCTCCAAAGCTGTATATAAAGTCGCCGACGGCTACGGCTGCATGGTTCACTCGACGAGGACCTCCGTCGACATACGCCGTCCACCACATCGCGATTTTCTTTCACTATGCGATGACCATACAGAATCAGCTGTCAACGAACATGGACGAAAAAGTCAAAGCCGCATTCGGAAAGCTCTGAAATATGAGAAAGCAACGAGTGAAAATCTGAACACATGATCCACCATTATTCATTAAGGGAAACCTACATAACAGAATAAAACGCGATAACGTGAGGTGAGACCTCAGCGAAATTTTATATCATAGTACAAAAAAACTCCTCGATGAAGAAAGCGGGCTCATGACCCTAAAGGGATTCATAAAGAGTGTATTAAAACTCCTGGTACTGAATCTCATGCTTGCACGGATGCATAAGGAGAAACATCAAAACAAAAGCATTCCATCTCTGACAAAACCATTACCATCTCATTACTTACAAGGTATTACACCGCATCATTCGTTACGCGCGCGTTCAAAAACCAAAGGCACACAATTTCGAAAAGTTTGCTATCTCGTTCGTCGTTGGCAACCACATTTGTTAGGGTAACAATTAAGGACAGCACCAATCTCAAGAGATATTTCACCAGTGGTAATGAAATCAGTATGGACGATTAATGACCATGCCAGGAAACGTGAAGATTTTTATTAATCACGTGGACAGTAGAAAGTAGACAGATATTTGTATAATGGTGTAACAAATTATTAAACTAGCAAATTATCAGTCTTCGATATCACCGGTAAGAATAACAATCTCGTTTTAATTCTGCAGATTTTTACGCAGCGTAATCGCAAGAAACAAGGTGACAACGCCACAAGCTGTGTAAAATCCAAAAAACTGACAGGATAGATGGAATAAAGTTCATTCAAAACATGAACAAAAATAAAAGTTTAAGCGTAACTGAAAGCAATGTGATAAAAAAAATTTTATTTATGAAAACTTTGGGTATCGTCATTCATCATGAGAGGTTTTTTTTATTATTTATTTAAACATTTTGTAAAAGTTCACACAAATAAACCCAACGAACAGGAAGGGAAATCAATGTTTGCTCATACGTCCTTAATAAAACTGCATAAGACGACGTACGTGAAGCTTACTTAAGTTAATTAATCTCCGTCACAGCAGTAAATCTACATGAATAGAACCAACTTTGAATTGACCAAAACAACAACTTTCTGCATAGTTCAGTTTGTAATTCGATTTTTAATATCTATTATAATACTAAATCTTGGCTTGTAGGAGAGTAATTGCATTGAATATAGATGATTTAAATAGTGGCAACCAAAATCTGCGTAGAAAGCACAGCCTGAGAAATTCCAAATTCTGTCCGTGAATTTTGCGACAAGCTTCTGTTTACTGGGATTCTTATCCATCTTAATTCAATGAGTTTCTTCAGCATATCTTGCTATTGATCTGGAGGTCATTCTACTTCGAACTGTGCTCGTTTACTCTCTCTTGGAACCATGTCATCAAGAACAAAGGTACCACAGGTCTAGCGATGAACGGCTGTTCTTGCAACGTATCCAGCTCATTGCTACTTTACCTGACTCAGTTAGGAAAGGACATCGCCCATTTGACTGTGCTGTCAATCGTTCGTTTTCTTAATTTTCTTGCTCTGCACAACACGTCTGTCATTGCTGCAGTGAGAATTTTGCATTTTATGAATAGTCTTCAGGCATACGGTTCTTGTTTTGCACCGACTTACTAGCACCTGGAGTACACAGTGATCGAATATTTTCCGTTTCAAGCACTAGAGTTACCTCCTGGAGAAAAACGAATTTTAAATCTACCGAAGTGCCCCATGCCATTTTTATTCATTCGTTGATTTCGCACTGTCCTTTCAACGTTTCAGAGGTCAGCTGTCTCAGGTGAACAAAGTTTTTTACTTCTTCATGCCTTCGTTAAACATGACCTGAATCTCGTTCATGATCATTTCCAGTTTTGTTTTTATGATACCGTCATTACGCTTTTGCATCAATCTGGTGACTGTAGCAAAATCAAAATATCGTCAGCAAACCTCAAATTGCTTTAGTGCCCATTTATCTTCAGCCCTTGATTTTCTCAAAGGAGAGTACTGCAATCCTTTTGTAGGACTACTGTGAATGATCTTAGGGAAGTTTCATTCTATCGACTGTACTTTTACAACGCAGAAAATCAAATTCACATTAACGACAAAAACGAGACTGGATTGAAATGAATCTTCCAAGAAAATAAATACTTTGTTGTTCGATGACCACATGCACGAAAAAAGTGGACACTGATGGAAATTTGTTTTACAAATCGATGTTTCAGGCAAAAACTTTACAGATCATCAAAAGGGACAAAACTAGAAAGAAAAAGCAGTCCTATATATAAATCAGTTCAGTTTAAAGTAATAATTAATGTTAAAAAATATCCGGCCTAATAAAGCAGCATCATAACACTCAAATGAGAACAAAAATTGACGTGAACATCAAAACAGCTGAAAGTTCAATAGTTGAAACTTTGTTCTATAGAATGTTAACAAACTGACGCAGATGTTGCATTTTACGTAACAGTCTTGTCACAATCGAACAGGGATGTTCAGCGCTCAAAAAATAACTTATCTTCCCATGCTGATAGACATTGCATAATTCCTGAGTTAAATCCATGAATACTATCTCTACTCTAATAGTTTTCGCACGCTGAAGACCGTTCACCTTCAACTCTTACTACTTTACACAAGGTCTACAGTGGTGAGGAAACTTGTTCACGACGGCTTTGCCCAGCACCTTCAGCAGCATCTTAACGTTACTAAACATATTTGGAAAAAATATAAACTGCACTCATCAGTAAGATTCGAGCGAAAAGCACAAGAAACCTGCTATAATTTGCAAACAACAAAATTAGCAAGCACAAAAAATACAGTCGCGTCCAACCAAGTTACGACGTCAATCGATAATCGCTACCTGCAAACACTCAGAATAATTGTCTGAATTTTGATATTCTGTATTAAATGTTCATCTGTACATTTACTAGTTCTTATTTATCAAAAGCTCAAAAATACAGTCATGTGAAAGAAATCTCGAGGCTACGATGGAAACGCCATATGCTGTATGTAAATGATCGTCAAGTACCTAGACTTTTCCAGAGGTAGGCACACTACGGATTTTTACAGTTGCAGCAAATTAGATTTCAGCAGCCATATGAATGAACTGTTTTCCATTCACATTACATTATTCTATGCAGATAAAATTACGCAAGTGACACATCAATAAAGGATATGTTCTTCTGACTGTCTCCAGCATCAGGTTAATGTTCAGCAATGAGATTCAGCCAGGAATGGACTGCACATATTTTGCTATCCATTAATTAAGAAGCACAAGAGGAAGACAGATTTGACACTAGGTCTATTTTCTTCTAAGCGGTTAAAGTTTTGAAGTCTCACTCTGTAAATACTGTTGTTTTGCTGTAGTCTTTCAGAAGGATGCTTTAAATTTAGATCGAAGGGGAATAATGAATTTCAATTTCAGTGGATTACACGATGAAATTGCAGATTTGTTGCTCCACTAAGTGTTCTGAAAATTTACATGTAGCTGTCGAAAAGCTATGCCTCAGGATTAATCGCCAAGGTAAATTTTTCTCAAAACAAGACATCGAATGCACGCAAATAATGCAATGGTTTTTGCTATATTCCTCCAATCAGCTATTTTCTCAAATTTATACATTCACTATTCTTTAAAATTATGACTGAGATAAAGATTTTTTAACGTCTGCACCTGCATCTTTATTCCTTAAGCAATACGACTTAAAGCTAATTCCCTAAGCTTAAAAAACGAGATTTTACTGAATGACTAATAGTTTTGAGTGGTTTCTTTGCCGCAGTTCGGCGCGAACCGGATGAAGAATAATATTAAAGCTCGCATGCGCGCTTATTTTCTGATGATCCTTGGCTTAATGCTTTAATTTGTGATGGATCTTATAAGTATTGAATTGCCAAATGTGACATTGCTGATATTTTTTGGGAGATTCTTGCTTTACTAGTTATCTAGGTGCCTTATTTTATTTGTGGAGATAATAAAGCATCAAATGGTTATTGGCTCCCTGAAAGTTTTGACAAACATAAGATATCTCCATACTAACAAGGATTGTTACAACAGATTGAAGAAGCGTACTTTATCGAGCCAATCTGTTTAGCGACTCTAACACAGTCCACATTCTGTTGACAAACTGGTCGTAACGCTTCTTTACGCAACTGGTGATGCCAGTCGTATTCCACTTATTTCAGCAACTATATGAATGTAGTTTTGCAAACTATAGCAACAGCCCTATAGCTAATAGATAGCTTTTCTGCTTCATTGAGAGCGAGTCCTTATGTTAATATACGTAAGTCTGCGCGAAATAAATCACGACAATATTAAGAAGGGTACAAACGTAGTGAATGTTACATAAAAGCAGAACATCTCTGAATAATAATTACAACCAAGGCAAATAAAACGAAGACAGCATCAATGACGTCTAGCTTTAAAAGACAAGTGGCGAACATCAGAGGATGTCAGTATAAGTGCATGTCTTGATCATTTTCACGGGAGAAAATTGGTCAGGATGATGACGCTTCCTAGAGGCTGCAGGGGTTTCAGATTCTGATGAAACGGAAACAGCAACTTCTTGAATCTCTTCTAAATAAAAAAGTTAAAATATTAAATAAAGCAACGTAACAATACATTTGTAGAGGGAACATGCGAAAAAAATGTATTGCTGCCTTTAAACTATATAAAACACGCGAAACAGCAGACAATATCGATCAATCGACGCAAAAATAAGACACATCTCGCTTAAAAAGCGTTGTCTTTGTCAGGTCCAAACTCCACTGGACAGTATGTGCACTAGCTTATAATAAAAAGACAATCTTATGGATGACTTCAAACCAGAAGCGTTTTCGTCAACCAAAGCAAAGAAGAACAAGCGCAACTATTAAGACTTGTTATGAATAAAAGATGCCCCCTACTCACTGTGGACATATGACAGGATGAGACTAAGTCGCAAAGGGTTAAAGTTTACGTCCCGAGTTTAAAGTACAGTTGACTTTTATATCAGACATTACCAGGCATGGGTAGTGTGACATACATGATCGAACTTCTTGTTATGTATAAAACAATTTATGAAAGGATAAGAAAGCATAAACAACGTTGGAAGAAATAGTAAATGTACTTCAATCAGTCAAATAGGAGAATTACTAAACAGAAAAAGAGAAATAACAAAAAGATTGACAAATAAAAAAACGATGAACACGAAGGAAAAGACAAGAGAAGAGAAGAAGAAACAGAGTATGTCTAAAAAAAGTGAGAAAAAGATCTTGAGAAGTTGCAATACCTAATAAAATCAATTAGTAAAGAGACTAATGCAGTAAGTGAGTTCATGGGTTGTCAAACCTCAAACAACCACTTCGGTTGATGTGAAATTATCCGCATAATGAGTCCTTAAATGAAGGTAAGTGA